GCCCTACGTGACAGCACTGATTGTTCACCTTTTCAATTTAAATTCAGAGTTTTCCTCTCTGATTAATCAGTTCACCTTAGAGTTCACATATCAGTTAATATTTCACAGAATCTCAGGAGGCCATTCAGCCCATATTGCCTCTTCTAACTATTTGAAAGAGCAATCCAATTATTTCCATTCCCCTTTTTCCCCAGAGCAATATAAAATGTTCCTATTTTTAGGACAACATCCAATTCCCTTTCTCAATTGCCTTCTTCAATCCCTTTCAGGTACTGCATTGCAAATCATAAAAACGAGCTGCATTGAAAAATCTCTCCTCATCCCTTATAGGTTTTACTACTGATTTTAACAAAATAGATCTTTTACAAATGATTACATCCATCAGATCGAAACAATGCATTTCCAATCGAATATTAGAATTTGCTTGAAATTCCTTAGGAGAGTATAAATGAAAATGTTGGACCAAGCAATTTTGTACTGCTGCAATTAAAAATGATCAACATTGTGCAATGCTTCCTTACAGTCAGTGTTTGAGTTCAACTCAGTGAAAGCCTTTTGGGAAATGTATGTTTTGAGTCACACAGTACTGTATGAACAGTATCTTATCTATACTCGGTATTTTATTTAGGCTACCAGAATCGCAGAGTCTGTATTAGTAAGAAGGGCATTATTTTAGACTAAACTCTGGAATACCATCCATAATCCCTCCTACTTCTCCCTTAAGAAGATCTGTTGAATTTAATCCTTTTAGCACCGTTTTTGTCACCCATCCTTATATCTATCGTTTTCAACAGGCTTAACTCATGCAAAATCTACTGCTCTCTGGAATTCATTCCCTCTTTAATCCTCTCTGCTACCCCCTTCTCATCTTGAAGATGCTCCCTCAAGTGAGAAAGAACAGAAACACAGGAAATAGGAGCAGGAGTAGGCCATTCAGCCCATTGAGCATGCTCCACCATTCAATATGTTTGTGGCTGATCATCCAACTCAGTCCCCTGATCCCGCTTTCTCCACATAACCATTTTCTATGGGACGTAGGAAACACAGCATTTTGTGCACAGTAAGCTCCCACAGACCATAATGGCTTGGTATCTGTTCATGGTGATGTTGGTTGAGGGATGAAGGTGGACTGTTCTGCAGATGTTGGTACTGAAACTTCTCCCTCTTCCTGAGGGGATGCAAAAGGGGCTTTCGTTTCACACCTCATCTAAAAAACAGTCCATGTGACCATGCCACACACCCCCAGTACCACAATGGAATGCCATTCTGCATTGTCTTCAAGCTTCTGGAGTGGGACTTGAACTCAGCAGTGACGTTGTTGCCCAGTGAATCATGGATAACAAGTGAAGGGCTGTTGCTCAGAGCGTTCAACACCCAGTGTAAAGTTCACATTCCAATCTTTCAACTGGTCTATCTGCCCAATTTGCATAAACAAGCTGCCCAATTTCCACTCCAGCACACGTCATGGGGGCATGATGGTAATGACACTGGAGTAGTAATCGGGAAGCCCAGGCCAATGGTCTGGAAAAGTGGGTTCAAAACACCCCAGCTCAGCTGGTGGAATTTAAATTCAATCTGCAATTGAAAGCTAGTCTCAATGATTTTATTTTTTATTATTCATTTATGGGATGAGGACATATCTGGCTAGGCAGCATTTATTGTCCAGAGGGCAGTTAAGAGTCAACCACATCGCTGTGGGTTTGGAGTCATATGTAGGACAGGGCAGGTAAGGATGGCAGTTTCCTTCCCTAAAGGGCATTAATGAACCAAATGGGTTTTTCCAACAATCAGCAATGGATTCACGGTCAACATTAGACTCTTAATTCCAGATACTTATTGAATTCAAATCCCACCATGGCAGATGGCGGAATTTGAACCCAGGTCCCCAGAACGTTATCTGGGTCTCTGAATTAACAGTCCAGCGATAATACCACGAGGCCACCATCGCCTCCCCATAATGATGGTGACCAAAATTGTCAATTGTCATAAAATCCCATCATGGTCACTAAAATCTTTGAGGCTAGCATTCTGCTGGGACTCTAGACTCACAGCAATGTGCTTGACACTTAACTGCCCTCTGCAACATTTAGTGCAAAAGCAGTTAGGGATGGGCAACAAATGCTGGCTTTGCCAGTCAGCGCACATGAAGAAAAATGAAAATAGTTTTTCTTTGTTCTTTCACAGGATGTGTGTGTCGCTGGCTTTGCCAGTATATATTACCCATTCCTAACTGCCCAACGTTGCTGTGGGTCTGGAGTCACATCTAGGCCAGAGCAGGTATGGATGGCAATTTCATTCCCTAAAGGACAACTTGATGTGTTTTACAACAATTGACAATGGTTACACGGCCATCAATGACTTTGTTGTGCCAAACTGCAATACCTTTAAAAACCAAAAGAACTGCGGATGCTTTAAATAAGGAACAAAAACAAAGTTGCTGGAAAAGCTCAGCAGGTCTGGCAGCATCT